CAGTCGTGACCAACTCTGGGGTTGCGGCACTCATCTCGCTTTATTGGCCTCGGGAGCTGGCATACAGCTTCCGGATCATGTGGCCAGCATGACTAAGCCGCTTCTAGAGAACCAGAGCAGTGCACGGAAATGCCGTTTACCTTCCCGCTGGAGCGGTACTTATTTATCTACTTGGACTTTGACGTGCTTTCGAACTGCTAGGTTGGCAGGAGCAGGGACCGAGCAACGGGAGCTCACCCCATTGCAGGGATTCGAACCAGCAACCTTCTGATCGGCAAGTCCTAGGCTCTGTGGTTTAACCCACAGCATCACCCGCATCCCGCTTTTCCTTAGGACGTCCCTATTTTCATCAGAGAAATATCTGAGGGTATAGTATGATGTCCTGTTTTCATCAGAGAGGTGTTGGAGGGGATTACAGTCGTACCTTGGAAGTAAAACGGAATCTTTTCTGGAAGTCCGTTCGACTTCCAAAACGTTCGGAAACCAAAGCGTGGCTTCTGATTGGCTGTAGGAAGCTCCTGTAGCCAATCAGAAGCCCCAGAAGCCCCATCAGACATTCAGCTTCCAAAAATAGTTCGCAAACCGGAACAGTCACTTCCAAGTTTGCAGTGTTTGGGAGCCAAAACGTTCGAGAACTAAACTGTTTGAAAACCAAGGTACAACTGTATCTTCATTTGCACCAAGGAAATGCTGGAGGGTATGGAATAGGCTTTCCCTATTTTCATCTCAGCAATGTTGGAGGCACTGAGGCTCTCTGCAAGTGGTGATGATCCCTGTTTGCCACCCTCACTAGGAGGATTACTTTACAATGTGTTTATTGAAGAAGCTAGCTCTGTTTTATGTAGCGTCTCTGTCCCTGGATAGAAGCCCCGCTGACCACGGAGCTTGTTCTGGCTGCTAAAGTACGGTGCCGCCAAACTAACAGTGGCTCTCCCAATCAGGGTGGCAGCCGCCAGCCTCCCAGGGACCTATCCTCGCCTCAGCCAGCCACTCCTTGCTTCTGGCTCTCAAGATTCAATAAGAGCGCACGGCTCTGAGCTACCGTCTCCACTTCCACGGGGAGGAGGCTTGCCATCTGCTAACAGAGTCAAGAAATCAAATTAGCGCTGGCTTTACGCTCACTTTCTCCATGACACAAGTATTGGCAGTCAAGGGCTGAGTTCATCAGGGCTCCACACTAATTTCTTATCTTCTCTAAGTGACTCCACACTGCCATCTGATGCAATTTGCCCCTGCGCTGTGGCCGAGGGCTCCAATTTCTGCTTGTTTTACCATCAGTTCCATTAATAGGACATCTCTGTTTTGGGTGGCGCAAGGTGGGGGAGGTAGCAGGGAGAGGCTTTGGAAAAACAAGACCTGGTTGTTGTTCTGTTGGGAGGAGAAGGGCGTCAGAATAAACACCATGAGAGGGAAGAAACAAGCTTCCCCAATTTGGTTCGCTCCACCTGATTTCCAAATAACCAGTTCCTGTAGGCCATTGCCCTTGCAGGGGCTCTGAGTGGAAAGGATGCCTAAGCAATTGGCATATGCCATTAACCTGAGGTTTAGCCCAGGACTATCTGAGGTGGTGGAAGGGAGAAGCCCACATTTTGGAATACTCTTCTATTTGGAAGATGAGAATCCAGGCAAGGAGAAAATTAGCACAACAAGGGCTGCCACCTCTCTCCATGATGTGCTAGTTGCAGGGAGAGGTATTGTTGTTGTTGTTGTTAAAAAGGTATTGGAGCATTAAGGAATGTGATCATGACAACATATCATCTATCTATATCTATCTATCTATCATCTATCTATCTATCTATCTATCTATCTATCTATCTATCTATCTATCTATCTATCTCTATCTATATCTATATCTATCTATCTATCTATTATCTATCTATCTATCTATCTATCTATCTATCTATCTATCTATCTCTATCTATCTATCTATCTATCTATCATCTATCTATCTCTATCTCTATCTATCTATCTATCTATCATCTATCTATCTATCATCTATCTATCTATCTATCTATCTATCTATCTATCTATCATCTATCTATATCTCTATCTCTATCTATCTATCATCTATCTATCTATCTATCTATCATCTATCTATCATCTATCTATCTATCATCTATCTATCTATCTATCATCTATCTATCTATCTATCTATCTATCTATCTATCTATCTATCATCTATCTATCATCTATCTATCTATCTATCTATCTATCTATCTATCTATCATCTATCTATATCTCTATCTCTATCTATCTATCATCTATCTATCTATCTATCTATCATCTATCTATCATCTATCTATCTATCATCTATCTATCTATCTATCTATCTATCTATCTATCTATCTATCATTTATCTATTTATCTATCTATCATCTATCTATCTATCTATCTATCTATCTATCTATCTATCTCTATCTATCATCTATCTATCTATCTATATCTATCTATCTATCTATCTATCTATCTATCATCTATCTATCTCTATCATCTATCTATCTATCATCTATAATCTATCATCTATCTATCATCTATCTATCATCTATCTATCTATCATCTATCTATCTATCTATCTATCTAATCTATCTATCTATCTATCATCTATCTATCTATCTATCTATCTATCTATCTATCTATCTATCTATCATCTATCTATCTATCTATCTATCTCTATCTATCATCTATATCTATATCTATATCTATCTATCTATCTATCTATCTATCTATCTATCTATCATCTATCTATCATCTATCTATCTATCATCATCTATCTATCTATCATCTATCTATATCTATCATCTATCTATCTATCTATCATCTATCTATCTCTATTTATCTATCATCTATCTAATCTATCATATAGCTATATCTATCTATCTATCTATCTATCTATCTATCTATCTATCTATCTATCATCTATCTATCTATCTATCTATCTATCTATCTATCTATCTATCTATATCTATCCATCCATCTATCATCTATCTGCATGCTGTTTTTCAGGCCCATGGCCTCCTCCTCCTCTCTGTAACAGGGTAATAAGAATTTATTTATTATTTTTTAAATGCAGTCAGAACTGAATCCAGTCTATCACTCTAGGATTTTACTGGCTCATTCTGCTTTTCCTCTCCTCCTGCATTTTGCAGATGAAAACACGAATTGGGTGTTCCAAGAACCATCAAGTCCTTTCCTTTCCCAACTCTAGTAAACACAACAGAAGGCACAGAAGCGATCTAAGTATTTTGTTCCTGGGGCAACCACCCCTGGTTTCCCCCAACCCCCCACATGCTATGCCACTGGCCTCCTTATTTGTCATGGTTTTATTGTGGTCTGCCAACAGTTTGCAAATAATATCAATCAGGGTCCAGCCCACTCTTGCTCTCAAAAGGTCTCCCAAGTAATGAGCTTTGAAATCTATATAGAAGCAACAGTGCAAAAGGTAACACACGGCATTTTCCATCTCCCCAGTACCACAGACACAGGTCTGCTGCTACTACTATCACTAATAACAACACAGTATGGGCCAGATACCAAGTTTAAACATGTGGCAGAATGAAGTGGGCGTGAGGTGGCAGAAAGTGCCGCATTCTGGTGGGTGGGCATTCCCATTTTTGGATGATAAAAAGGTAAAGGGACCCCTAACCATTAGGTCCAGTCACGGACGACTCTGAGGTTGCATGTTCATCTCGCTTTACTGGCCGAGGGAGCTGGCATTTGTCCGCAGACAGCTTCTGGGTCATGTGGCTTTACCTTCCTGCTGGAGCGGTACCTATTTATCTACTTGCACTTGATGTGCTTTCGAACTGCTAGGTTGGCAGGAGCAGGGGGCTCACCCCGTCGCGGGGATTCAAACCGCCGACATTCTGATCGGCAAGTCCTGTGGTTTAGACCACAGCACCACCCACGTCCCACAGCGCCACCCACGACCCACAGAGCCACCAAATACCACACCTGAAAGAGATTGTAGCCCAGCCCTTTCTCACTGTGTTGATCTTCTGCTTGAGAGGCATTTGTTTTTGACATTAGGGAACATTCAAGAATGATGTCTTCCAAACTGCAGTTTGCAATGCTGCAGTCCACCACCTGAGGACTCCATACCCTCCAACATTTTCTAATGAAAATAGGGACATCCTATTAGTAAAGAAAAAGTGTTTTATATGCATTATAACACTGTGACACCAGATGGCGCTGTGGAGTTCCATCTTTAACCAACGTGATTTCCCATTACTGAATAAAGTTTGCACCTGGGATGGCTTCTGTAAATCCGGGACCGTCCCTGGAAAATAGGGGCACTTGAAGGATCTGGGACTCACTCTACCACATATTTCTGCTCCGGGTAGACATTGCCTCTTACTTCAAGGCCAGGATACGTCAGACTTCAGCTTTAGAGACCCAGCAAGTTTTGACCTTCACAGCGCAAGTCTCCTACCATACCCGATTTCCTCCCTCACGGGTTGGGCCTCAGCCTTGTCCTCCAACACCTTCCCCACACAAAAGGAATAGTGATAAAGCAGAGGAGGAGGGGAATGACACAAGGGCTCCTTAACGTGACCTCTGGCTTCTGTTCACTCACACCAAGCACCTCCTACATATGGATGGGGCTTGCGCAGATGATAGCCAGTAAATTGTACGTGGCAGCCATTTTGGTCTGTCTTAAGTGTCCCACGCACATTGTGAGTTTAATAACTTTTGTTCCATAGACGGATGCCTTGTGGTTCTGCGGCTTGAATTCCCGCACTGTGTAACTTGAGGTTCGGTGTTTCAGTCCTGTCGGAGATTGTGCTGACGTTATCTGCTCCCGGCCGCACCCTTATCGCAGCACTTGATACGTTAATGCAGAAATTATCATTGAAATGTCCTCATCAATTTGTCAGGACAGCGCTCAAGTGAGTCTCAGGTTCTGCATGGCCTCTCAGGTTTTACCCTCGCGCAGAAAGCTCAGACAGTGGTACCCTGCCCTCCACGTAACCAAAGGGATGCAGCAGTGATGAGCATCAATCCCTGAGCATCTTTGCATGACATCAGCTTGGGTGGGTGGGTGAATATCTTGGAGTCCTCTCTGCCTGAAACTTGAGGCAGCAGAGGGAGACTGATTGCAACATTAATTATGCATTTTTTAAAAATCCAACAGTTAGGAGGAAACAAGAAAGGAGGGGAATAAAGTACGCTCTGCCTCCTTAATTGCATTTAATTAGTCTGCAGAGGCAAAGACAGAGTGGAAGAAAGGGGTGCGAGAGGGAACCATAAGATTTCCTCTGCTGTGTCAAGGCGATCGGAAGAAGCATTGAGCCATAAAGTGCTCCCCATGCTCCCCAAGGTGCTCATGGCTCCCTCTGCTCTGAGGGTCTCTCTGCTTCTGCTGTTCTTTACTTCTGTGCTGCAATGCAAAGGTAAGGAAACTTGAGCAAAAGTTTGAAAGGCTGCTTGTTTTGTGCCTGTGAGCTGAAGGAGAGACTTTGTAGGGGGGCAGGGGGTGCTCTCCGCATTTGCGAGGTCGATCCGGAGCGGCAGCTGAACGTTTCATATTAAAGACAGCGGTGCAACTTGAATCATCTGAACTCTGGGTCCCGTGTCGCTGTACATTTATGAAAGAACATTGACGGCTAGCCTTTGTTCAGTAATACTGGATTGCTCCAGGGCAATCCTGAGTTTTGAATTGAGGGAAGGGGAGGGGAGGATAAGTTGAAACTAAAGAGAGAGAGAGAGAAAGGAAAGCCTTCTTGTAAAAGATAACTCTGGAATTTGCTGCCACAAGCTGCAAAGGCAGCTCCTCAATTGGATGGCTTTAAAAGGGGACAAGACACATTCGTACAGGAGGATGAGAGGTCTGCTAGTGGCTATGAGACTTGATGGCTAATGAATGGAACCTCCAGATTCAGAGGAAGTCTACCTCCAAATCCCAGGTGTAGTGGGTGGAGGAAGAAGAAGAAGAAGAGAGCAGTTGTTTTCATGCCCTTCACATGAGCTACTCCACTGCTGGAAATAGAATGATCGGCTTAAAGCGTCATCAGTTCAGCAGGGTTCTTTTCTACTTTGTGGTGCATTTATCTCATTTTAGAGCAGCCTCCCTCAGTGGCGTAGCGTGGGGGGTGCAGGGGGGCCGGCCGCACCGGGCGCAACATCTGGGGGGGGGGCGCGCTCGCACTTGCAGCTCTCTGCCACTACCTGGCTCACTCACTCTCTCTCACTGCAGTGCTGGCTGTGCGAGTCCGATCCGAGCCGCCGGGTTGCCGCCCACTGTGGAGGGGCAGGGTGCCAGGCTCGAGTGCTAAAATCCACAGGTTAGGGGGCGCAAATTACTTGCCTTGCCCCGGGTGCTGACAACCCACGCTACGCCACTGGCCTCCCTAACCTGTGGCCCTCTAGATATGATTGGACCCAACGCCCTTCATCCCTAACCATTGGCCATACTGTGTGGGGCTGGTAGGAGTTTGGGAGTCCAGCAATATCAGGAGGGCAGCAGGTTGAGAAGGCTGGTGCAGACTCCAGATTTACTGGCCTTATGCCCCCACTGTTTAGATGACAATAATATGCACAACTTCAAAATATTGTAACCCAGCCCTGCTGTATTTGGGGCTCCTCTTGCTCAGTTTTGTTGATAGAGTCCTTGGGCATCTGCCCTAACATTCTGACCTGATGGTACCCCTGGTTGTCTAGTGCCTTTAAGTCCTCCACATTCTTTTAATAGAAGATGCTGGATCTGGATGAAGAGGTTCTTTTCTTCATGGGATATTAAAAGCAATCTTTAACATTTGTCTGGATGAATCACAATACCTTTTGTTTTTGCAAGTAAAGTGCAACTTTTCTTTTCTTTTCTTTAATGATTTAGGCTTGCTACCTTAAAAACACACCCCAAGTTTTGAACAGATAATTTAACCATTTTACTGTGGCTTTTTATTCTAACCTCAAGTTTCTTATCATTTGAACTAACTGGGGGCAGAGGAGACTGGAGAGATGGAAAAGTGCACATTTATTCACAGACCTGCGGAGAACCATAAAGCACTGGGGTGGGGGATGGGGACATGTTGTTTCAGAACCTGTTGCCTGAGCCAAGTTGAACTTGGAAACCCCAGTTCTGTGTATCACTCATTGCTCAGAATGGCGGGGGTTGAAATCCTTGGACGGCAGCAACGGTGCAGAGAACAGATGATTGTGTTGTTGCTCAGGCTTCCTGTTCCTGATAACACAATGGACCGGGTTAGCTAATGATCATCTGTCAATTAGGGGCTCTTTGGTTTGCTAAGCAGTGGGAGCAGAATGGAGAGGAGCTGGAAAATACTGACAGGTGGACATCTGCTGTTGTTTGGTTGCCATCCCAAGACAGGTTTGAACGTGGCTTTCATTTTGGGACCATCCCTCCTCTTAACTTAAACTAGCACAATGTTAATGTTCTGGAAACGTGACCAAAATGTGGAATGTCAGGAATGTGAGGAAATTGTAGCCCTCCAGATGTTGTTGAACTATATCTCCCATCAGCCACGGCAGTCATCATGTCTACAACCAGGAATGATGGGAGCTGTAGTCCACCCAGCAACATCTGGAGGGCTACAGCTCCCATCATTCCTGGTTGTAGACCTGATGGCTGCCGGGGCTGATGGGAGATTTAGTTCAACAACATCTGGAAGGCCACAGGTTCTCCATCGAGAATTGTACATGTGGTTTCATGATTGGTGGCAGAAACTGTCTTGAAGTCCTTGTCTCAAAATCCAGTTGAAAGGAACCTGGACGAGGGATAGCTCAATTGGTAGAGTAAGAGACACTTGATCTCAAAGTTGTGGGTTTGAGCCCCACCTTGGACAAGAAGATTCCTGCATTGCTGGTGGTTGGACTAGATGACCCTTGTTCTCCCTTCCAACTCTTCGATTCTATGATTCTATGGAAAGAAGGTTGGGTGAGCACAACATGTTTGTTCCAATGGGTCTCCAATGGGGCACATTTTGAGGAGGGCTGTGGCCAGAATTATTAGGGATACTGTAAATAATCCATAGGGACGCGGGTGGCACTGTGGGTTAAACCACAGAGCATAGGACTGGCCAATCAGAAGGTCGGCGGTTCGAATCCCCGTGATGGGGTGAGCTCCCATTGCTCGGTCCCTGCTCCTGCCAACCTAGCAGTTCAAAAGCATGTCAAAGTGCAAGTAGATAAATAGGTACCACTCCAGCGGGAAGGTAAACAGCGTTTCCGTACACTGCTCTGGTTCGCCAGAAGTGGCTTAGTCTTGCTGGCCACATGATCCGGAAGCTGTACGCCAGCTCCCTCGGCCAGTAAAGAGAGATGAGCACCGCAACCCCAGAGTCGGCCACGACTGGACCTAATGGTCAGGGGTCGCTTTACCTTTACCTAAATAATCCATAAGAACATAACAGGAGTCCTGCTGAGCCAGACCAAAAGGTCCACCTAGTGCAGCATTCAGTTTCTCAAAATGGCCAATCTTAAGCTCCCAAGATGCCCACAAGTAGGGCAAGAAAACAACAGCCCTCTCTAGTTGTTGTTCCCCAGTAGCTGGCACACAGAAATAAAGTGCCTCTGAACATGACATTTCCATGCAACCATCAAAAGTGAGTAGCCACTGATAAACTCACCCTCCTGAACCTGCCTAATACCTTACCCTTAAGAAGAATCTCAGTCAGCAGCCGTCTCTCCCCGTCTTGTGGCAGAGAATCCCATACATTAATTGCACATTGAGCAAAGAAGTACTTTCTTATCGGTCCTGAACCTACTGCCAGTGAATTTAATTGGATGACCCCGAGTTCTAGTATTAGGAAAGTGGAAGGAGGGGTGGAAGTAATTCTCTTATCCACTTTTTCAACACCATACATAATTTGATAAACCTCAATCATGTCCCTCACCAAGATACTCCCCGCCCAACTGAAAAGCCCCAAAATGCTTTTGGCTTTTACTTGCAGGGAAGGTGCTTTATCCTTCCAAGACGAACATAGGAAACAGCCTGATGCTGAGTCACACCCCGTGGTCCACCTTGCTCAGCATTGTCTACACTGACTGGCAGTGCTTCTCTGGGATTTCATGCAGGGGGTCTCCCCTATTCCTACCTGGAAATGATGGGACTTGAACCTGGGACCTTCTTCGTACAAAGCAGATGCTCTACCAGCTGAGCTACAGCCCTTCCCATCATTTTGGTGGACCTTTTCCAACCTTACAATATACTGTTGGAGGTCTCTGAGTACAAGTTGCTGGAAATCACAGAAGAGGTTTCCTGTCGCTTTCATGTCCTCCTTTTGGGCTTCTCATTGGGGCTTCTGGCTGGCCACTGTGAGAGCAAGATGCTGTACTTGAAAGTCCACTTGCCTGATACAGCAGGCTATTCTAGGGGCCGTCTAAATGTTGCTGGATTATAACTCCCATCATCCCTGGTCATTGAACATGCTGCCTAGGGATGATGGGAGTGGTTGTCATTGGCTGTACCAGGCCAATGGACTATCAAGTTGAGCATCTTGTTCTCACAGAGGTCAATGAGATGCCTTCTCTAGGAAGCCCACAAGCTGGACCCAAGTACAAGGCCACTCTTCTCTCCTGTGTTTGCCAGAAACTGATATACAGCCACTGACTATGAAGCCAAAACATTGTGGGGGGCACTAGGTTGGGGAATCGTGTTCTAGCTCAGTATGACTGGTAGCAACTTTCCAGGCTCTCAGATATATAAGGACTTTTCTCAGTCCTTCAACCTGAAACCATTGCTAGTCAGAGTGTCAGGTATTTTCACCCAGGACATTCTCCTTCAAAGAAGACACAGCCAGTGAGGTATAAGCTCAGACAAGGTTTGCTGACGGGGCGTCCTCCAGATGTTCTGGACTACAGCTCTCATGAGCCCAAACCAGAACAGGCAATAGTCCATGATGCTGGAAGTTGGACTCCACAACATGTAGTAGGTACTATGTTGGCTACTCCTGAGCCAGAGAGATCAGCCAGAGAGAGAGGAGGAGAGGGAGGGAGGGAGGGTGGGAGGGTGGGAGGGTGGGAGGGAGGGAGGGAGGGAGGGAGAGACCCTAAACTCTGAACTCTAGAAGATTCAATATAGACAAAAGAAAGGACTCCTTCATGCAACACATAGTTAAACTATGGAACTCATTACCAAGGAGGAGGCAGTGATGGCCACCAGCTTAAAGGTAAAGGGACCCCTGACCATTAGGTCCAGTCGTGACCGACTCTGGGGTTGCGGCGCTCATCTCGCTTTACTGGCCGAGGGAGCCAGCGTTTGTCCGCAGACAGCTTCCGGGTCATGTGGCCAGCATGACTAAGCCGCTTCTGGTGAACCAGAGCAGCACACGGAAACGCCGTTTACCTTCCCGCTGGAGCGGTACCTATTTATCTACTTGCACTTTGTGCTTTCAAACTGCTAGGTGGGCAGGAGCTGGGACCGAGTAATGGGAGCTCACCCCATCGCGGGGATTCGAACCGCCGACCTTCTGATCGGCAAGTCCTAGGCTCTGTGGTTTAACCCACAGCGCCACCTGCATCCGGATGCCTTTAAAAGAGGATTGGGAGAAATCCATGGTGGAGAAAGCTGCCAGTTACTCTTAGCCATAATGGCTGTGTTCTAGCTCCACAGCAGTACGCCTGTCTCGGTTGCTGGAAATCACAACAGAGGAGAGTGTTGTTGGGTTTCTCTTTGGAGCATGTGGTTGGCCAGTGTAAGAACAGATTGCTGGACTAGATGGGCCACTGGCCTGATCCATCAGGTTTCTTCTTACATTCTTAACCACTCAGCTCCCTCAAATGATTGCCACTTTTCTCGAAGATGGATTTGCATGAAATTCTTCCCTTCCATCAGAGGGCGCCCTGCTTGCCTCAGTCTGCATCCCTGCCAGACATCAGTCAGCGCAAGGCTGCTCCAAATTCCACCACCTCTTTGCCCTTTCTAGGTGAAAAACAACATTCATTGTGTTCCTGGCATGTGAAAAACTAACAAACCCCAATGTGCTGTTTTTTGTTTTATTTTTTTCTAAAAAAACAGATCCCACTCCCATCTGCCACATGCAGGAAATATGGGGGTGGAAGAGATAGAAAAGCTTGTTTTACTCCTGGGTGCTGGAGTCTTTTTGAAAAGGGCTGAGAAATGTGTGTCAAAGACCTCCCTCCTGCTCCTTCCAAAACCACAGCCCCCCAAAGCCATTGGCTGGGAGCAAGCCAAGTCCACTAGCCCTTGGCTCAGCTCATGCACCTCCATGCTCAGTTTGCAGAATCCAGGAGCATCTTGGGTCTGAGTTCTTCGGCATGATGTTTTCAAAAGCCCTGTGAATCTATGAGTCCTCCAAGCTTCTTCCCTCCCTCCCCAACAGCTGGACCATGGACAACCCATCAAATCCTCTCTCTGTCATTTTAGCAAGAGTGCATAAACCACCCCCTCCCCCCAAAAAAACCTCAATAGCAGAGGCAAAAGGCCCAAGAGCTAATCCTGTAGCCAACCCTAGCCAGCTGTAGACCTTGCTGCATGCCAGTTGGATCTTTAAGGGTCATTTGGAAGAGACAAAGGCAAAATCTGCCATTGAATTACCCAGCCAGCCTGCTTTCAGCGGACTCCCCTAATTTGTTTTCTTCTCTCTGCCTGGCCCTCCCCATCTTCTCCCTCCAGCTGCCTGAAGCTCGTGCGCCCAGCTAGCTTAGAGGAATTATAGATGGTATGAAAAGGCAGAGGGGTCTGCTTGAAAAGCCTCCTCTAAGGATGCTCTCCCCCAAGCACCTGCAGATCTATTCCAATTAGGGGCTGCTTGCAAAGTGTGAATTGTGCCCCAGTCTTAGGAAGTCATGTTCAGGGAGAGACGTGGCAGGCAGGCAGGCAAGCAGCAGCTCTGCTGTTTTGACCTGGCTTTTTCCCTCCCATTGTGAGCTGCCTTGCAAGATAAGCTTGCATCAAAGGCAAATTTCAGTGCTATTAATGCTGGAACAGCCGTAACTATGAAAGTAGAGGTGGGCGATGCTACTTTTGTTTGTTTGTTTGTTACATCAATTCATTACAATTCACCGATTTTAACAAGATGGTAGCAAGTCTTTGTCTTCATAAGGTCCACTGTTTCATGACAGAACCTGATCTGGTGGAAAAGATCAAGAAGTTAATGGGAGAGATTCTGCCTCTGCTTTGGATACAGAATCAGCAGAGCCACATGTTACTTATTCTGGCTTATCTATATAGCATCATCAGGTTACATGGCATCTTACTGAGTAGTGCTAGAGAGAAAACAACCAACCAACCCACAGGCCTTTCTGCTGCAAGATGTTTACAGTCTCTCTCTTTTTTATATATATAACTTTTTTTTTTAACATAATTTTATACATGTTAACTTTAACCCTTTCAAACATTTGAATAAAAGGTTCTATTGAACCTTTGGACCTCCTTCCCTCCCTCCATGGGTTCCATATTCAAGATAACAGTTTCTGCATCTTTTCCCTTTATCCATATGTTAAATATCTATAGTTACCATAATTAATTCCACATTACAAGTGTCATTATATCCCTGCCAATGATTTTAACTGTTTACAGTGGTCTTTTAAATAAAGAATTTACTTTTAAGAATACATGATCTTCCTGGTTTCTGATGTTCCCCATCAGTTTCACCATCTCTGCGTACTCCATCAGTTTTGTCCTACATTCTTCTCTTGGTACTTCTCCTTCCTTCCATCTCTGGGCTAGAAGCATTCTCGCTGCTGTTATTGCATACATAAAAAGTCTTTTATCCTCTTTTGGTATCTCTTCACCTATTATACCTAACAGAAAAGCTTCTGGTGTTTTTTTTTTTTAACAAATGTGTTTTTAAACATTTTCTTTAATTCATTATATATCATTTCCCAGAAAGCTTTTACCAGCGTACATGTCCACCACAAAGCTGTTTACAGTCTCAATTAGAGCCGATTGGAGCACCTATCAAGCCTAAATGTAGTACACAGTCTGTTTTCAATGAGGGGATCACATAGGTAAATCTGGGCGGCTGAGGGCAGACTGTGGTTGCTGAAGCAGTGCCCCCTTCACTTAATGGAACCAGACTCCACTGCTGGATTATAAATTGATATTTTTTTTTCATTTTTATTTTTGCATGCAGAAAGCAGTGGCGGGCTTTGGGCTCTCAAATATCAGCGGCACCCTGTGTGACGCTAAAATTCGGCGCGCCCCCCACCTCTTGCTCTCCATTCAACAGCATTGTTGTAGTGCCCCCTGCAGTCCAGCGCCCAGTGCCGCTGCACGGGTCATGCCAGTCTAAAATCACCTCTGCAGAAAATCACCTTCATTGATAGATACAGTCAATGACATACATTGTTTTCTTTTCCAACTTCTCCAGCTTATCATAAAACAGCCAGCAAACAAGCAAACTTGACTAAGCCTGCTCTCCGTCTGCTCTCTGACTATTTATTTTCCAACTACAAAAAGGATGTCCGTCCTGTTCGCAACTGGAGGAAGACCACCAATGTAGCTATCGATGTCATGGTCTATGCCATCCTGAGTGTGGTAGGTCTTCTCCTCCTCCTCTCTCTCAAACGGTCCAGGTTTCCTGTTCCCATGGATCACTGGGGGCAAGGGGACAGACATGACCCACCTGAATTTAGGTAGCCCTTGCCATCTCCCAGGGAGTTGCAACATTTTAATTTATTACTATAATTTATTAGATTTCTATACCACCCTTCATACGAAGATCACAGGAGATTTAAGATATAAAAACACAAAAATGCATAACGTAGCAACAAATGAAAACAATACCCTCCCACTCATGTCCAGGTTTTCTGCTTCGGGCATTTAAAGAAGCTGGTCTCCACAATGTTTCCCATCAGTGATGGGGAGCACCTGTGCCCCCCCCCGATGCTGCTGCTGGAGTATAATTCCCATCATCCCTGACCAATGGTTATGCTGGTTGGGGGAGATGGAGAGACTGATGGGAGTTGGATCCCAGCAACATCGGGATGTTTATGTTTGTGTGTGTATGTGTGACAGATGCTTCCCATCCCTGATTCACATGACACAATTGGAATTTATATGTTGATTTTATTGAGTAATGAAAGTGGAGGGGTTCACTTCTAAAGCATCACTTAGGATTCTTTCATACGTTGTCTTTTTCTCTCCAGATGGGGACATCCATGGTGTGTTTCTATGCATGTAAAAAAAAAAAAAAAGCAAAATGTGGGCAGTACTTATGTGTTCCATCAGCTCAAGGATTTCCACTTGTGCAGCAGAACTCCCCTTCTCCTCTTCCTGTGCATGCCCCACAAGCTCCCTCTGTAGGGTTGGGGGAACTTTCAGAACAGATTTAGGAGTGCAAGGGGTGAGGAGAGGACAGAGGGGAAATTTCCTTGCACAAGTGCTATGCTGGATACACCCTGTAAATAAACCAAAAAAGTCTGAAAACATAGGCATGTTAGAGATATAGTGCTGGGACTGGCTGCTTCTTCTTTCTTAGTGTGCCTGCATGCAGTGTGTTGGTTGTTGTCTGATTGCTTATGGGGGCTCCCTGCAAATTCTTTAAGGTGTCACCTTACTTCACTGCAGCCAGCCATATAGGGAGGTCATAGGGAACTGACCCTTTGGTTTCATTAGCCTGATCTCTGCTTCTCTGTTTTCAACAACAGGATGAGAAAAACCAAGTCCTGACAACGTATATCTGGTACAGACAGGTAAGAAGGCTGTGCCAATGGGAGCAATTAGCTCTCCTCCTTTCCTGCCCAACCCCTTTGACCTAGCAGCTGCTCATCACTGACACCACATAGGTCTCTTGATTCCTAGGATGCAACCTTCCATTCACTGGACTCCATAGTCCCCCTCTGCTGTGCTGGCTTCTGCAGACTGTGGCTGGGATTCTAGGCAGCATCTGCCATGAGCACTAAGCATTTGACAGCATAGAGAGGCAATTAAGCCCCATTTCTCCAATACAAGTTGCTCCTGGTGTTCAGACTTTGTTTTTGGCATCATACTGTCTCTAGAGACAATGGTGTGAACCTCTGGGGAAGAAGTCACACCACTGCATTAGTAGCACCAATGTGACCCTGGGGCACAAGCCTGGGCTAGGCTAGCACACTGATCGTTTGTACAGCAATTTAGAATGTCACTATTCTGGGTACCAAAGGAAGAAGGAAGTTTGCCCCACAGCCTGTTTGAGGGATGAAGTAGCAGAGGAGGGAAGATGAGAGTGCATGACGTGAGCAGCTTATAAATAAAACAGGCCTCACCCTCAGAGATGCAGGTGGGTCGGAAGGCTGCATCTTACAATTGAAAAAAAGAAAAGAGAAGCATGATAAAGGAGAAAAAAAATGAATGACAGAGAGCATCTTGGCTCCCACCCAACACAGACAGAGGCTATTACTTGGAAGTAAGGAAGGTATATTTATGCAGACAAGTAACGGTACAGGCTCAGCAGCAGATATGCTGCTTGAGAGTCACAATTCAGGAGCTAAAAAGCAGGGCCAGAAGTTCAGAACTGGACAGAAGTGATGGAGATGTCCCAACAAGATCCCCCACCTCTCCTGCTTTTAAAGATGAGGTGAGGCAAGGCAAGGCATGTTCACTCACAAGACTCGCTTGCCTTGTGGTGATGTTGAGCTTGCCGGCAAACACTCTGTTGGGGCAGGTGGGGCTGCTCCCATCTAAGAAGGTGGTGCTTAGTTCTAGGTGACAAGACTGGACCCTCTTGTGTAAGCTTTTGTTCAGCTCCCCCCTTTTGGCTGATCAAAGCCCCCCCCAGCCTCCACTGAGGGTCTCTGCTCCACAGGAATCTCAGTACCCCTGCTCCCCCTTTCAAAGTGACAGAAATGGGGTGGAAAGTGAAGAATTCCTCTCCTCTAACCCAGGTTCACACAGGGAGGAGGGGAAAAGAAAACTCAACCACAAGTTTCTTAAACAAAATAAAAATATTCCTTCCAGTAGCACCTTAGAGACCAACTAAGCTCATACCAATAACAAACTTAGTTGGTCTCTAAGGTGCTCCTGGAAGGAATATTTTTATTTTGTTTCAACTACGGCTGACCAACACGGCTACCTACCTGTAACAAGTTTCTTAAAGTTACAGTTAAACAGTTATATAGCTCTGTCTGTGCAAGTCCTGGCTATCTAAGAAATTGGCAACTCTCCAGAGCCATTCTTTCCTCAAATCAGATCCCAGAATAGAATAGTTGACACCTACCCACAAGTGGTTCAGCACAGCACCCCACCTACTTATTTCCATCTACCACTGTGTCAGATCCTCCCTTCTGTTTTGCAGCACTGGATCGATGAGTTTTTGCAGTGGAATCCAAGGGACTTTGACAACATCACCCAGATGTCTGTCCCTACTGAAGCCATCTGGGTCCCAGACATTCTTATCAATGAATTGTAAGTGCACCATCCTTCTTGGGTCCTCCCCCCCATCCTCTTTCCACATTGTGGAAGCTGAAAATATGGGATGGAAGAGAATGTGAGGATTTATTTCTGTTCCCTCACCGTTCCTCCCTTCCCATGCCACCCTCTCTTTCCACTTTGTATTCTTGACAATGCTTTTCCACTGGCTTGCCCCTCTGTGTACTGTATATTGCAGATGGGGAGAAGGCTGAGAAATTGGGACGGTTCCAGTAGTGGAAAACTATAAACACTCATAATTACCCTTGCTGTGTTGGGCGTGGGATTCAAATTTTCTGAGGAGAGAGAGGGAGAGACAATGGAGGGGCAGCTGTGGAGCCGTCAACGCATACTTGGGAGAGAGGGAAAGAAGGAAGGAAAGGCGGGAGGATGGAGTTATTGTTCTAAACCACCCTCCTTCTATTGTGACCACTGGAAGACCTAAGCAAGGATCAGAAAGCCCCTTTGGGGAGGAGAGGAAAATTCCCTTTCCGTATTCATGTTTGTAAGGTAAACAGCTTCATTGGACAATGGGTGCATTATTTTAATGGGTCATCACAAGAGAGAACCCACTTGAGACCTGGGGGGGGGGAGAGGAGAATTACAGGGTTCATAGGAAACTGTTCATTACTGAGACAGACCTATGGTCCATCTGTGCCTAGTGTGGTATAGCGGTCAGAGTGTTGGACTAGGATCTAGGAGACCAGAGGACAAATGAGAATCTAGTGTAGGAGAGGAGGAATGTGGTAGAGTGGCTAGAATCCTGAACAGGGAGCATGCTGCAATGTTTTGTTATCTGTAACTACTTGTAGCTCAGCATCTGGAATCTGGGAGGGAGGAGTTCTATTGCTTGGTGGGTTTTGACTGCAGCCCAAATGGTTCATGTTCTCTCCCCTCACTTTGGCTCCCCCACCCTCTGTTTCCTGCAGTGTGGATGTGGGGAAATCCCCCGATATTCCCTATGTTTACATCCTCCATCATGGGGAAGTGCGGAACCTCAAGCCTGTCCAGGTGGTCACTGCCTGCAGCCTGGACATCTATAACTTCCCCTTTGATGTGCAGAACTGCTCTCTGACCTTCACCAGCTGGCTGCATAACAGTACGTGAGCAGTTGTGTTGATTTTGCCCTGTGGCTTGTTGCATGCTGGGAGAAGAGGCCATCTCCCCTCAACCTCCTCCCTGCAGAATAGGCTTGTCAATAGCTGCTTATTGTGATGGCTAAATGCAAGCATCATATGCATATGCTTTCTACCTCCAAGTAGCAGATACAGGAGCAAACTGTTAGAGGTGTGAGTCTCCCAGGAATAGAGCACTGAATGTAACCCACACCCACACCACATGTTTCAAGCACTATGAGACCATTTTAAAGAATTCTGGGAGCTGTAGTTTGCTGAAGATGCTGAGAGCTATTAGGGGATCCCTATTCCCCTCCCAGAACCACAGTTCCCAGAGTGGTTTAACAAGCAATCCCTCTTCACAGGGAACTCTGGGAAGTGTGGCTGTGGGAGGGGAATAAGGAGTCTTCTAACAACTCTCAGGACCCTTAACAAACTACAGCTCCCAGAATTCTTTGGTAGAAACCATGACGGCTTAAAATGGTATCATAGTGTTTTAAATGTATGGTGTATTTGTGGCTTAAGACAGACCTTTTATGTGATCCAACCTGGCAGATTCTATGGCCACCAATACCTTTTAATTGAACCTGATTCTCACATGGTCCCATTCCTTCAAGTGCTAAGCATGCACTCATCTTAGCTTGTTGAGTTGTGGCCCATTAATCTGGCATTTCAATGACTAATAATAATAATAGTAACAACATATCGTTGCATCTATAAGATGCCCCCATGTATAAGACACCCCCTATTTTGGGGGACTCAGATTTAAGAAAATGGGGGGAGATGGCCCAGAGTATGACGCCCCCTAATTTTTGACATTATTTTAAAGGGAAAAAACCCTAGTCTTATACACAGAAAAATACGGTATTTATATGCCGCCCATCTGACTGGGTTGCCCCAGCCACTCTCGGTGGCTAATATCATGGGCTCTCATTTTGAAACCCGCATCATGGGGTTTTCGTGTGTGGCCATCAGTCCAAAGTTATGTCTTTGATGGGACACAGAGAAAGGTCATCAAATCACTTGGAGATGGGTATAGCATGGAAAAGGGAGGGGATTCCTGCAGGGGATGATATCTTTGGCACCCTTATCCTACTTTTCTTCCTGTCTTCTGTTCCTCAGTCCGGGACATTAACATCTCCCTGTGGCGGACCCCAGAGGAAGTGAAACATGACAAGAGTGTCTTCATGAACCAGGGGGAATGGGAGCTTCTGCATGTTCTCAGCCAGTTCCGAGAGTTCAGTGTTGGTGACAGCGACTTCTATGCTGAGATGAAGTTCTTCGTAAGAAGTTTTGGCAGGCTTGGGCAGGGGTGGTGTGTGGGAGCCAGAAACACAATCTTCAGTGCATATTATTTGTTAAAGAAGGCTGGAGGTGGAAGAGTGGTGCAAAGCTCTGGCGATGAGAAGCTGCTGCTGCAGGTTTCTTGCTAGTTTTCAAAAGGGGGAGGGAGGAGAAATGGGTTTTCTCTAAACTGGAGCTACCTGAATCCAGAAGGGGGGAAAAGATGTTTCAGTATCAGAATGAAGAGAGTCAAGCTGCTGCAGGTTGTGACTTATACCTTATAGAAGCACAGGGTTGTAGCCAGCTAACTTCTTCTCAGCACAGACCTACTGAAATTCATGAGCCTAAGTTATCCATGCCTCTTAATTTCAGTGGTCTACTCTGAGTGTGGTGTGTCATTGGAGGCAAGTCACAGGAACTACAGCTCAGCTGAAACAATTCATTCAGAAAGACCAAAAGGCACCCCCCCCATTTTTGTGTGATTTTTGGCACTGCTTGCCAAACATCATTCATCAACTTTGCCCTTACTCACCCTCACCCTCATTTCCCCTCTTTTGTCCTTGGTCACTACATCATGTAGCAGCATTCAATTGCTTTGTGGCATTGTGCTCCAGGACTGCAAAACATCATGTTCAATGACTTCTTAGAAGGCTGAATTTCTAAGCTATCATTAATTTCTCTTCCTGGTTTTTTCCTGAGCATTCCTTTTCTTAAAATGCATGTTCAGAGAAAATGGGGCCTCTTCCTGCAATATATCTCATAACTTATAACATTTTAAAATCATATTTTTTAAAGTGCCTTTTTTTAAAGGGAAAATGATGCTGGTACTCAACATGAAGTTGTTACAGTAAGTGCCACACTTAACTTTTTTTAAAAATCTTTATTGGAAATTCAAAAAGTACATAATTATGTGTGCACTAAACATGGTGAGACTTAAATAAAAGAAAGAGAAACAGAACCTGTGTAGAAGGGAAAATAAAGGGGGGAGGGGAGAAAAACACACCCAAAGCTGTATATTTTACAAGGTTGTTATTGTACTTCATGAGATCTTAACCTACTACAGTATTTGTAAGAATGGATTCCATTCCAATTTTTTGGCGAGGGAAGGTGCCGGTACTGTGTGCCCTTGAGTACCCCCAGGGAAAAAAGCACTGACCTCACCAGATTCCCCACTTTGAAATATTATACTCAGCTTGGAGAGGTCTTGCAAACCTAGTGTGACTTTTCCTGAATTCCCTGTGTCTTGACTTTGGTGCTTTTCTAATATTATGAAGGAGAACATTTTGGGACCATGTGTTGTGAAAACATGGGCTGTGGAATCAGCCAGCCCCGGTCCAGGGAAGGAAGGGTTAACCTTGCCTGACAGGCAGTTTTGCAGCAAGCAAAGGGCATAAATATTTCAGCAGCGGGAGGAAAGACTGGGCAGTGATGCACATCCCAAAGGACTCCTTGATGCCCCCCTGCCAGCTTAGCCAGACGCCTGGTGCCAATGGAGCCCTTGGCTTGTGCCAATTTGCAGCAGCTTAGGAAGCATTAAATGGGACAGTGAATTTGAGGGAGAGCCAGCCACCCATTAGAGCATGTCTCAGCTAGACCCAAGGCCCACGCCTGACTCCTTGTGCCTCGGCAGGTGGTCATCCGAAGACGCCCCCTCTTTTACGCTGTCAGCCTACTGCTCCCCAGCATCTTTCTGATGGTCATGGACATTGTGGGCTTCTACCTGCCCCCCGACAGTGGAGAGAGGGTCTCCTTCAAGATCACCCTGCTCTTGGGCTACTCTGTTTTCCTGATCATTGTCTCTGATACACTGCCAGCCACAGCTATTGGGACCCCGCTGATAGGTAATAATAATAATTTTATTATTTATACCCTGCCCATCTGGCTTGGTTTCCCCAGCCACTCTGGGCGGCTTACAACATATCTAAGAACATAGCATATCAAGCATTAAAAAACCTCCCAATACAGGGCTGCCTTCAGATGTCTTCGAAAAAGTTGTGTAGTTCTTTATCTCCTTCACATCTGAAGGGAGGGCGTTCCACAGGGAGGGCGCTGCTACCAAGAAGGCCCTCTGCCTGGTTCCCTGTAGCTTTGCTTCTCAAAATGAGGGGACCAGCAGAAGACCCTTGGAGGAGGACCTCAGTGTCTGGGCTGAGCGATGGGGGTGGAGATGCTCCTTTAGGTATACTGGGCTGAGTAAGATCACAGCAGCCCCATTGACAAAAGCATGAATGGGATGAATTGTGCAGCATGGCTGGTGGGGCCTTGTGTTCAGTCAGTTGCAAGATAAAGCAAGAAATGGTTCAGATGTGTCCATGACATTGCCCATATTATGATTAATTTTTTTTATTAGTTGCTTTCCATACCCAAAATGTCTCAGTTCCAGAAAAACCCCAAAAGCAGAGGCTGAAAATGCTTAAATACATCAGCCTGGGTGTGCTCCATGGCGATTATTGGCAAGTTTGCTAGGTATGCCTTCCTGTTTTTGAGGGGTTTTTTTGCAAGCGGTCCTGGGATGTGGGTCATGGCCAATGAACTGCACAGCTTGGGCTACCTACAGCATCATCTGAATGTTATTCCATGTGTGAGAAGGTGTGGTTGAGGTGCAGATCTCGGCCCAAGAAGAAAGGGAGAAAGAATCTAGGCTAAGAAATGTTAAAGGAGTTTTCACTGAGGGAGGATCAACAGCCCCACACAGGGTTTTTGAAGAGCCCCAAAGGCTGAGCGGTAGCGGGAGATGAGGGGGTGTGGGAAATGGAGGGCTTGTTTCTGCTGCTAGAAGCTTTATCTCATAGAATCTTTGAATGGGAAGGGACCCTGAGGATCATGCAGGAATATGCAGCTATCCCTTACAAGGATCAGACCTGAAACCTTGGTGTTATCAGCACCACTCTCTAACCAACTGAGTTACTTAGCTCAGAAATGGACTTGGCTGAAGGTCATGGCTTTCCTCCAACAGGGGTCTATTTTGTGGTGTGCATGGCGTTGCTGGTCATTAGCTTGACCGAGACCATCCTCATAGTGCGACTCGTGCATAAGCAAGATCTACAGCCTCATGTACCTGACTGGGTGAAGCGCTGGGTGCTGGAACGGGCCACCATCCTGCTCTGCATCCGAGACAGGAACACGTTCTGTCCGGTCCACACTCAGAGCTCTGACATCTCTGGGAACATGGAAAACAATGACAGTACAGGTAAGAGCAAGATCAAAGTCCCAAATGGGAATGCAAGCATGTGAACACTCTGTTCAGACGGATGCCCATGTCGAATGGTACATTATTGGGGATAGAAATGTTAACTGAGTGAACGCTGATGAAGCACAGAGAGTGAGAGGGAAAATAGCTGCTAATATTTTACTGGGCAAACTGAACAAAAACAGGACATAATATGAGGAGAAATGAACAGAGAGGTTTGATCTTATTTATAGGCCTTGTGGACAGCAGGGGTAGACATGCAACCAAACATACAGGGGGAAATTTCCTCAGAACTACATAGCCAGGTGGCACTGTGGGTTAAACCACAGAGCCTAGGACTTGCCAATCAGAAGGTCAGCAGTTTGAATCCCTGTGACAGAGTGAGCTCCCATTGCTCGGTCCCAGCTCCTGCCAACCTAGCAGTTCAAAAGCATGTCAAAGTGCAAGTAGATAAATAGGTATCGCTCTGGTGGGAAGGTAAACGGCATTTCTGTGCGCTGCTCTGGTTCGCCAGAAGCGGCTTAGTCATGCTGGCCACATGACCCGGAAGCTGTATGCCGGCTCCCTTGGCCAATAAAGCGAGATAAGCGAAGCGCCACAACCCCAGAGTCGGCCATGACTGGACCTAATGGTCAGGGGTCCTTTTACCTTACATAGCCAATCAGAACCTTAGCAAGGATCATGCCAACCTGGCTGGTTGCTAGACAACACCTCCTCCACCACCACCTATCTTGATTGGCTGTCTGTCAGCTGCGGCCACCCTTAGGTTCCTAACCGAATGATCCTTGCTGTCATGTTAAGTTATTGAAATGATTGCAATGAGCGAAGTGGGGAGCTGTTGTGAACTGACCCATGGCTCTGGCACTTAGGCTAGGACACAGCTCCCCAGTGTGTCCCTCATATTTGTTTCAGCTTTACTGACCATTTCCTTTACCTCTCTCCAGCCAAACTGAACCACTACAGCTGTGAAAGCACACGTGACTTCGAAGGAGGAGCAAGTGGTACTATGACCCAGCCACAAGGGGAGAGCTCACTGGTGGTTGAAAGTATCCTGCAAGAGATTGCAGCCATTCGCCAGTTTCTGGAGAAGCGGGATGAATTCCGTGACATTGCCCGTGAATGGCTGCAGGTGGGCTACGTCCTGGATGTTCTTCTTTTCCGGGCATACCTAGTAGCTGTGCTGGCCTATAGCATCACATTGGGCACTCTGTGGTCCATCTGGCAATACGCCTGAGACACACACCATACAGATGGGTTTGTCAAGCAGTTATGCTTGATGAGTCTTTTTGAGGTCTTTGGACTCATTGATATGTAGAACTTAGACCCAGGCTCTGAGGTACTGCTCATGGACATGCATCTTAAGATTGGTGGCTTCAAGTGTCTCATAAGACTAGTCAATGTGTATCTATATTGTTATCAAGGTGCAATACTTGCCTAAGTGGCTTGTGACCTGCCATCCCCAATTGTCTTACCTGCAAAAAAGGGCAGAAGCACATGCAATTGCTCCTAAGCGATGTTTGTACACATCCTAAAAATAAATAAATACCTTATGATGCATGCCAGTTAAAAACAAATTCCGATTCTGGCTCCAAACTGGATCCCAGAAGGGGAACGGAAGATGAGTTGCATGGAACTGATTATTATTATTTTTTTACCCTACCCTAAATCCAGTCTTCCTGCTTTCCACCCCAATTCTACATTTTCATTGCCAACGCTCCATTGTAGAGCACATTTCCCACCTCCATCTCAGCGCAAAGGAGCTTCATCCTGGTGGCCAAGCCATTTTGTTTAACTAGACCTGTCATCCCGAGAATATGCCAAATATGGATAGAAATCTTGCAGTGGAGCTTGCCTTTGCTTAATTTCTTCAGCAGAGGTTTAATGTCAAGATACTATACAAAGAAAGTTTCGCTGTGGAGAACCAAATCCAGGGTCACGTCTAGTCATTTGCTACAATCCTTTCCTCCCTGCTGCATCTGTTTACTGGGTTTGAGGCCAGTTGTTGCTGAAGACTATGTTCTACCAGCATTTTCTCTCCCTCACATGTACCCTCACCCTGATGCCATTTCTTATTGGGGACTAGATTTTTCGACGTCTTGAAATGTCTCAGACGTTTGCTGCCAAGGGTGCATGATGCTCAGACTGTTCACCCATTTTGTAAATAACGTTCCTCCCCACCTGTACAGTAACTAGCTGCTTGCATTAACCTTTTCACCTGAGCCATCTGTAAAGCAGGCAGCTTCTTTTCTCGTGGTTCATCCATTTGTTGTGCAATAAACTGGGTGTTTCTTAAATTAAATGGAATGTGCCAGAGTTACTCATTACAGCCAGAAAGGAGGTGGGGGCTATGGGCAAGGAATGAAAGGGCATGGAAGACCCCTCGGTTAAGTATCAGGAGAAGGTAAGACTGGTTCTTCTTTTTTAATCAACATTGATTCAGCATTGATTCACTCATTGAAAACACTCATCCCAGGCTTGGGGGAAATGCAAAAACATTCCAGCATGTGATAGAGCACTAGAAGCTATAGAGAAGAGAAGATGGCAGTTTCCACTTGGTCAGTTTCTGTTGGTGCTGGAATGTGTAAATCCTAATCTAGAGGTTCATAGCTGTCCTCAAGTCTCAATGAAATTAGCAGAACTTGTTAGTCACATCCAGCTTAAATCCCATTGATTTCAATGGAACTTAAGTCAACTATTTTCTATCAGTTGTGTTCAGTAACTCAAGGATACATCTTCTATCCAGATGTCGTGGACTGGCTGGATGCAGATGTGTGGTGGGAGGCACCAGCTGGGGAACCCCGAAGGGAACCCCCAGGGGAAGAAAGCTCAGCCAGGGGATTGGCGGTGGGATGACAATGAGTGGTCAGAGAGGGAAGAGGGAGTAGACTGGAAGGAGGAGGTATCAGAAGCTGAAGAGGTAACAGGGTTTATTGAACAGGAAGAGGCTGTGGCAGAGCGCAGTTATGACTCAGAGGCAGAAGCAGGGTGGCGGGGGGGGGGGAGAGGCTGAGTAAAGGCTGCAGGCTGCTGAAGAAGCCAGGGAATCTTCCCCTCCTGTTGTGACCAGCTCCATCCCCCCCCCATGTTTCCCAGAACACACAGAGATATGAAGAGGATGGAGCAAAGAGAGGCAAGGGGAAGGAATTGGGGGAAGGTGGGGACCTTTAATCCCCACAACTGCCTCCTTGGGGCAAGACCTACTGGGAAGAGTTGCTGCGATCACTAGGCCTGCACTGTTTTAGTTTCTTTGAATAAAGAGTTAACTTCACAGACACCAGTGTTTTTTTATCGCTGACCTGCTCTGGCTCCTGACAACAGCGTAGAAGGTCAGTCTAGTATTACTACTTAAGAGTTATTTATCTATGACACTATCCCAGGCACAACTGTTTTTACACAACCCCCTCCTTCCGATGTGTATTAATTTCAGGTAATGAAAATTAACAATTGATTCCAAATAGAATGAAGCCGGGATGTTTCTTAGGCTCCCTGGTCCTTTCTCTCTGTATACAGCTATGAACTAGCGTCCTCCCACTTCTGCCTGCCAAGAAAAACTGTGTAACATGAAAACTTTCACAATCTTACAGTGGCATAAAATTGATCTGAGCAAAAAGCGCACCTTACCATTTCTTCTCTCATTCACGTTCTGGGATGAAATCTGAAATCCAAAGCAAACTGTTCTGCGGGGGATTTTTCAGCACCACGGACAGAGCCCCAAGCTTTGCCGTGTGTTGCCCTGAAGGTGTCTCTCTATCCTTTTAACTCAAATCAGTGGTCAAATGCTGGTGGAATAGGCAAAAGCACACCCACCCCACACAAAGTTGCTAAGCGGTGTGTGTGTGTGTGTGTACATACAATAGCTACGTGGGCACTTCACACCGCAAGTCCACAACAAAGCTCAAAGGAATGAAAAGCAGAAAACAATAAGCAGCTCACATGGACTTGAAAATACCAAACATTAGCTGGTCTCAATAATGGCTCAACACCTACACACTTGTCCATCTGTCATTTGGCAAATATCATTGCAGATCTCATGGCGCCCCACTCAAACCTCTCTGGGTCTCTGTTGCTGCAGAAGGGAACCCGTCCTTGACTCATCCCTTTGCAAGGAATAATAATGAGCGCACATCACCCATCCAGACTTTTCTTGGGCATGTGTGTGTGTGTATGCATAAACATTTTCCCCCGTATCCGTCTATCCAAAAGGAGCTGCATGCTGTCAGTGTCAATCTGCTATTAATATAAGACAAGGACTTGTCAGAAATTGTATTTGGGTGGAGGGTATAAGCAGTTGAGTGATCATCTTGCAAAATGTTACGAAAATAAAAAAATTCAAAGCAAGGACCTGCAGAACGTTGGCTTATAAACCTGTGCATTGGAGCTTCCATCTGTTTCACAGAATAGATGCAGATCCCATCCAGCCATTCCTCACTATCACCTCTTCACAGAGGATGGCCTTATGGTGTCACCTCTTTCTTGTATGTCACCACCAGCTCAAAGCTCCAGCTGCAGCAAATGAAAAAGGAAGCACACTTTATTTGTGTGGACTGCCAGAAGTGGTGTCCACCCTGCCAAAAACTTTCATCAAAGTCGCAAGAGGCAGATGCTGAGAAGTGGGTGCATTTTTTTGATGACAAAGTATGTTTTTCAGACATGGTATATATTGCCTATGGAACTTGTTGCCATGCAATGCCTGTTTAGCCACTTGCACAAATACTGCATGGGAGATTAAATTAATAGCTACAAGCCCACTTGGAGATTTAGCAACCTCTGTACTGAAGGGAGGTTCTGACAAGGTGATATTAATACCCATCCCATTGGCCTCATGGTATGCAGTTAGCTACTGTCAGTATGTTGAGATAGTTGGGCTATAGGTTTGTGACAGCTAATTAGCACATCACATCTCTGATGGCTTATATGTACACCTAACATGTGCAAAACATACCCAGAGTTACATGCATCCCTGTAACCAGCATGCACCCAGTGACAAACCCAGGTTTGTTTCCATGTAATGTGTGAAATGGTCCTGAGCCAGCATGCCTCTGTTTTCCTGGCAGTCTAGTAGCAAAGGGCAGGGGAGCTTCCCCAGTTGAACAGGCCTTTTCTCCGTTAATGGTTTACCCTGCGGGCTTCACAGATTGACCATCAAGAACTAGTATGTTTGAAGGGGTTTCTGCACAGGTTGGACCTCCAGATCCAACTTTCAACTCAACAAGCTAGATGTTCTACAGAAGGACTGGTATGAATTATAAGCCACTTGAGATGAGATAGTGTCTAGCACTGACATGATTCTGCATGGTATTTTGATCAGTTTAGCTTGAGGACTCTTAAGTCCTTCCAACATCTGCTGAGCACCGAGCTGTGATGTTGACCATCCCACCTGCAAGAAAAAATATCAGCATGACTGGCAGGTGGTAACCAGTATGGTGCAAGTGTGGGATCTCGGTAGCAGGGTTCGCAATAATGTGCTGATGATCTGTAAGTGGCTGGCTATTGATGAGGTGTCCAGCTAAAGAGTTAGTAAGACACTAAATCAGCCCCATTGATCCTAGCGAGATCGATGGTGCTACAGACCTGATCACTGCAACAGGCAATTAACAACCGCTGGAATGAGCTGCCTTCATGTAACATCAAATGCTTCAACAGACAAATCCAATCGCCACATCGATCTGGCCCTTCCTGGTGCCGTGACAAGGTGTGTGTGTTTCGTGTGTACATTCAAAAAGCAAGTGTTGGAGTAGAGAATGCACAGGCACCTGAATGTATGAGAGGCACACCCATTCACATCTCACCTGAGCATCTCTTCCTTAATGAGTACGCTGGGTAGATAATGCCTACAGCTAAACTGAGTTTTGGGCCTCCTCTATTTATTCCACTGCATTTTAGGAAAAAAAGCTCAGCTGTCTGGGTTTCGTAGGCTATCCTTTATCAATCTGTTCACATTTTTAGACAAATGATTGAAGCTATTATCAAAATTTACTACTCAAGATAGCTAAAACTGGGTTTCTTTCTGTGTGCATGTTTGGGTGGGCCTGTGGCCTTGCATCACACTTGCATACATCACTCTGTGGCTGAGTCCTACTCTGAATTTGGGCTTAGCATTTGGGGACATACGTTTAGCTAACAGGGATTTGAATGGATTCATTTGGTAGTAATCCTAATTAGTGATTATCCGAGTTGCCTGGCTAGTAGTCTCTGACTCCTAAAAGGCTTTTTGGGAGAAATGTAATGGGTCTAGATTCAGTGTTAAGACTGAGACTGAAATGAATTTGGAGTGAGGATAGTTTGAACCTACCTTCACCAGAATAGACAAAAGGTGTCCTCAGTGCTATTTTTTTTAGAAAAATAGGTGCTGGAACTCACCATGAACACCTTTTTTGTTCTCTTTTAATGGCAATGGTGCCTAGCTGAGAGATGCTGGAACTATGTTCTAGTGAGTTCTGGCTGAAAAAAAGCCATGTGTGTACTGAAGAAGAAGAAGAGTTTGGACTTGATATCCCGCCTTTCACTCCCCTTAAGGAGTCTCAAAGTGGCTAACAATCTCCTTTCCCTTCCTCCCCCACAACAAACACTCTGTGAGGTGAGTGTGGCTGAGAGACTTCAAAGAAGTGTGACTAGCCCAAGGTCACCCAGCAGTTGCATGTGGAGGAGCAGGGACGCGAACCCAGTTCACCAGATTACGAGTCTTAACCACTACACCACACTGGCTCCCTGAATATGGCACATAGATACGTTAAAGCAATATTGCGGTTTAGTTTTCAAAATCTTTCACAAAGGAAATGTTGAAAAGAACAATTTGGGATTGAAATGTAGAAATAAAATGTGTGCTGAATCTTATTTTGTAAGGTCAGGCACATTGAAAGAAAGGAGCACTAAGGTTGGTTGGTGTGTTGTTGCACCTACATGAAATATCCTTGAATGACTCTATGGTCTTGAGGAGAGTTTTCTGCTAAGCCAGATTTGGCCTGTGGTGATAACAGGGTTCTTTTGCCTTCTCCCACAACTCACTCCACCAGCTGTCAGCCTGGAGATGATGCCTTCTTCTCTAAAAGATCTCAAATTGGATCCAGCCTTCCATCCTTTTTTTGCCTTTTTTGCTGTTTCAAAGCAACAGCCTTCCTCTGCAGAGGGGTGGCTTCTTGGGCAACCGCTGATGTTATATTCAGCTTGGGTCAGTTTCCTAAGCCTCCTGGTCTTCTAACTTCTATGGCGCCTCTTGCTCACCTGTCCTCTGCTTGCACGCCCTTTGAGATGGGTTGAGCTGTGAAGAGCTGGCTAATGCATGG